GGGGGGGGGGGGGGGGGGGGGGGGGATTCAGGGGTACTTCTGGTGGACTCCATACTTTCCGGCCACCTCTTTCTTCGAGTCGAGCGCCTGTTTCTTGTAGGAATTCCCATCGTACGGATGGTCGCCTGCCTCATAGTAGGGAGCTTTGTCACAGTTGCCATATTCATCGCAGTCTCCATCTTTGTATTTGTATTCATCACAGTCACAGTCCTCATTGGATTTGTCACAGTAGCCATATTTGTAGCAATCTCGATCTTTGTATTTGTATCCATCACAGCCATAGTCCCCCTTGGATTTGTACCCTAAATTTTCTTTGAAAACCTGGGGATTCTGAGCTTTTGCTCCCTCAGCACTCTGCAGAGCCGCCATTGCCATTGCCATTGCAGAGACTGCAAGCAGGATGACTAGAGCCTTACTGATCATCTTCTCTTTCTTCTCTCTGTTTTATGTTTGAATGAGAATAGTTGGGAAAATCCTCCAAATTTATAGGCAGCCAAGGGAATTTAGGTATCCTTTTTGAGTATAAAGATTAAGGGGTTTCTGCATGGGAATCTTTGTTCTAATGGAAACAAGTTGTTGAGTGGCCCCTTTGGAATTCATTCTGCCTTCAATTTTCATGGCCCCTTTGCAATTCATTTGGTTTTTAATTTTTTCATGGCCCATTTTTCTGCTATATTGAGATGGTTTGAGGTTGTTTTGGTTGCAGAGGAATTGCTAAAATCTTAGCAATGACCCATATGAAATATGAATGCTAAATTGTTAACTTTATCATTTATTTTGATTCTTTTCAAAGTTGTAACGTTATCGTTTACCTTTCATAAATGTTTATTGACACGTCCAACTTTTGTCTAAAAAATAATATTTTTGTAGATTTTTATTTAGAGTAAATTTATTTTGAAATATTTATGAAAAATTAGAAATTTTATGAATGGTAGGAACTTTTGAAATAAATTTGGATGAATGGTTTTAGGGTTTTTTTTTTTTTCTCTCCAAACGATGTAATCTAAAATAGTGTGATATCGATAACGGATGATGAGAAGCATTTTGCGGGTTATATGCAAATATGCAAGACTCGTTCTAAAGTTGTAAACTTCGAAATCAATTCCAATGCCTCTATAATGGGTGTGAGCTTCAAGTATGTTGAACTAGGGTTTGTAGGAGCTTCAAGGTGAGGATTCCGATATGCAAATTCATTCCATCGCTTGCAAAAGTTTATGACTATGGATTCTTGTTTAGTTGATGCACCACATGAATGAAATGTGAATTCTGACATGTCAATCAATCTAGAAGCCAATAATTGTTCTATGGTGTTAAGACAATTTACACAAATCAACGCGAAATTTTATTTTTTTTTTATAGATTTTTCTGGTGTTGTTGGGTTAATCATATAATCGTCTTTTCTCGAGATCACAATTTTTACTTAATGTAACATCCAATCTTAGCTTATTCTCCTATATCTGCTATATCTGTGTTTATGATTAAACATCCAGGTTTGTCATTCGAGTTATTGACCATCTCTTTTGAACATGACCATATCTCTCTTGAACAGTAAACAACAAGTAATGTACAAAGTTTTGTTTGCGGATTCGGAATTGTGATCTTTGTCCGTTTGTTCCTTAGATAATCAGATAATTATCAAATAATTATGAACATTTTGATTTGTTTGAATTCGATGATCTCGTTCTTGCAATTATTTAACTAAAATAGGATTAAAATAAGATTTTCATTGGCCTCACTTACAATCCCTTAAGCAAGAGAGCTACTTATACTTTTCCATCTTTTTATTCATACAAACCATAAGCATTACTATCATCGCAACCATGCGATGGGGATTCTGAGCTGTTGCTTCCTTCCTGGCCATGGCTCTTCCTCCAACATTTTGCACGAACTGCCATTGCTACTGCACACACGGCCACCAATGGCGACTACAACCTGACGCAATATCTACCACTCAAAAGTTTGAATAGATATAAAAATATTATTAATGCAGATTTAAGAATGAGAAATAGAATTAGAAACGAAGGTTCGAGAAATAGAATTAGGATCAAAGTTTCAATCTTCATTGATATTCCGTTTAAATAAATATAAAATACCAACTAATATCTACCAGGAAAATATAAACTAATTAAATTTTAGATACCATCGGCAAATAAATAAGAAAAATATAAACTAATTAAAATTTGAAAATAAAATAAAATAAAATATTAAGAAAAATATAAATTTGAGAATAAAATATTAACTTAATCTAAATATATTATATAACTAATATATTCGGAATATCTTGAGTATCTTCTTCTTTCTGGATCTTTTCTGTATGAATTATGAACTTGCTTTTGGGTTTATAATGGAAACAAGCTGTTGAGTGGTCCTTTTGCAGTTCATGGGCTTTAAATTTCTATGGCCCATTCTTCTCTTAAAAGAAATTGATAAATATGCACGTAATCCTAAGATTCTATCTCCTAATTATTTTATACAAGGTTTAAAGGTAATAGTTTTTTCTTTATAGTTAGTCCAGAATTAATAGCATCCAAATTCACCAATATTCATTTTACTTGAAATTTAAATGGAATTTGGATCGGTTGAGTTAATTGTTGAAGTTTTTTTTAGAATATTTTGAAGAATTTGTAACCAAGATATTGAAAAGCTGGGTGGGCTGTTTTTATAAATCATGGAGGCAATTGATTCTTCAACGATTTCTTAATTGGGGGAAATTGCATCTCAAATTCTATCGAGATCGTCAATTTTCGATTTCGATTCAAGTTTCTGTGCGATGGGCACGACGGGCAGTGATGTTGAAGCAGGGTTTGCGAAGCTTCAGGGCGAGGATTTCGAATACTATATGCAAACCTACTCCATAATCCTCGGCCGGAATTCCAAGAAATCCACCGTTGACGTCGACCTGTCCAGCCTCGGCGGCGGCATGAACATTTCCCGCCACCACGCTCGTATTTTCTACGATTTCACGAGGCGGCGATTTGCCCTAGAAGTGCTCGGCAAAAATGGCTGCCTCGTTGAAGGAGTTCTTCATCTGCCCGGAAACGCGCCGGTCAAGCTCGATTCTCAAGATCTTCTTCAGATTGGGGATAAGGAGTTCTATTTCTTGTTGCCGGTGAGGAATATTTTGGGTGCCTCGGTTGGGGCGAGGAGCTATTTAGGTCATTCCGCATCGGCGGGGGCGGGTCCTGCGGTGGCTGGGGCGGTGGTGCCGCCGCACTCGCACTATAATTTTCATTTGGCTGGCTCTGGAGGAGGCGCTGCTGCAGGGACGACGGGGAAGAAAGGGAAAGGACGAGAGTATTATGAGGAGGGATATGAGGACGACGATGACATTGGGGGAAGTAGCGGCAAGAAGTTCCGGCGGGATGGGTATGGAGCTGGTGGTTCTGGTGGAAAAGTGGGATTTTCCGGCGGAATGGGTTAGCATCTTTCTTGTTCTTCGTTTTTGCATTGGTTGCTTGATTACTTTTAGAGGTTTAGAAATAATCTATGTTGAAGTTTCTGATAGTGTCGCTTTGATTTTCATTCTTAGACAATTGAATCCAGAATTGGGTAACTTTTGATCATGGTAGTGTTTCCTTATAGTGCCAGATTTTCGTGTATACTGCCCGAAAGTCGGTTCGTAGTTTCTAACATGGTATTAGAGTCATGTCCTTAACTTACTCATGTCAATAGAATCCTTAAACATCGAACAAAATAGTTGTGGGTCTCGAATGTGTAGTCAAAGGTGCCTCAAGTGTCGAACAAATGGTGCATTTTGTTCGAGAGCTCCAAAGAAGGAGTCTAGCCTCGATTAAGGGTAAGCTATTCGAGAGCTCTAGAGAAGGAGGTATAGTCAAAGGTGACTCATGTGTTGATCAAAGGGTGTACTTTGTTTGAGGGCTCCAGGGAACGAGTCTAGCTTCGATTAAGGGGAGGTTGTTCGAGAGCTCTAGAGAAGGAGGTATACTTAAAGGTGACTCAAGTGTCGAACAATGGGGGAACTTTGTTCCAGGGCTCCAGGGAAGGAGTCAAGCCTCGGTTAAGGGAAGGTTGTTCAAGAGCTCTAGAGAAGGAGGCCTCAGGGGAGGCTCTATGTATACTTTGTTCGAGGGGAGGATTATTGACAGGAGTGGTCTCACATTAGCTAATTAAGAGAAAGATCATGGGTTTATAAGTAAGGACCACTATCTCCATTGGTATGAAACCTTTTGGAGAGACCAAAAGTAAAGTCATGAGAGCTTATGCTCGAAGTAGACAATATCATACCTGTAGAGGTTCGTGGTTCCTAACAGTGTTGTGGATCATCGATCGTTGATCATGGATGGAGTATATGTGATGTTCATCTTTGTCTATATGTTTTTGTTGTCTTCTTCTCTTGAGTATGGATCTTCTAAATTCTGTATATCTGGATGGCATAGATATTAAGATTTCTCTTGAACCATAATCTACAGTTTCCATGGACAAGAAGTTAGATGGAAGATCAAGAGTTGAACGAGAAGCTGATAATCAGCTCCTCCAGGAGGAAAAGGACGTCGTATCGTCGGTAGCTACCGTGCTGTCTGATCTTTGTGGCCCGGGCGAATGGATGCCTATGGAGAAACTCCACTCTGAGGTATATTTGATTAGGAAGGCTCCTGTTGAATCTTAAGTAAATGAAGGAGAAACTGAACCTATGATAGGCTGTTTATAAGGGTTGCTAGCTTTTGTAAGGCTCGACTTTTCTGTCCTTCTCGACTTCTATTGTGGTCGACCTAAAAAGTTATGTTCACATGTGGGAGAACTGATTACTTGATGCTTTATTTGTCGTAGCTGGTCGAGAATTATGGCAGTGTTTGGCACCACAGTCGTGTAAGGAAGTACCTCAAATCAGAGGATCGGCACGGTTCTGAAGCCAAGGATAAACCGTGGTATGGCCTGCTTATGTTGTTGAGAAAATACCCAGAACACTTTGTGATTAACACGAGATCCAAGGGCCGAGTAACGCTCGAGTTCGTCTCGCTCGTTTCACTGCTTTCATAGAGTCAGAAACTAGCTTGGTGTTGTTCCTGGGATCTGGGTGTTTCGACTTAAAAACACGTATGTAATGAGATGACAAGGAATTGATTCTCAAACCTTGTTGTCGTTCCTGATTTGTGTTCGAACTAGTAGCGATTTGCTGAACTCAATACATGTAAATTATCATTCTTACTATGAATGTACTAAAATTCCTGACTTGTTCATGTCTAAATTGTTGCAAGATCATTGTTCATGAAATGCCCGAAGGATTTGCCTAAATCACTAAACTGATGTACATCCAATGCTCCAAAATTTCAATGGCCTTTTAATAAAAGAAATCAAAACTGCATATCTCCATCAAAATTTCAAGGCAAGTGGCTCAATATCTTCTGGAGCTGAGAGGTCAATGAACTCATCCTGTCTCTTGTTCAAGTCGTCGTTCCCTACAATAGGAAGTTTCGAGTTCTTTGATTCTGGGCTGACCCTCTTTTGTTCTGGCGAATATGATGATAAATAACTCAGATCATCTTCATATGAACATTAACCAAATTGAAGAAAACAGAGACTTACTTTTATTAGCGATTGCGAGCCGAGTCATTGCTAAGAACTCGTCCCAATTAAACTTTCTCAGTTCTTTCTTCTCCGCCTCTGGGAGCTCGAAGTTGGGTTCCCTTCCGCACATGAAAGCAGCTCTAGAATAGCAAAAGACTGATGATCAGCTCCTTGGCTATTTTCTTTTCTTTTCTTTTCTTTTTTTTTTTTTGAAAAGTGAAGGAATAATATGCGCAAAATCCTTTGTAAGCATTAAAATGTTAAAATGCACCAATTTTCTAGCTGTCGAGTGAGATCTCATATTGGTGAAGAGGGGAACAGAGGCGTGGAAACCTCTCCCTAACAGACGCGTTTTAAGATCTTGGGGGAAAGTCTAGAAGGAAAACCCCAAATAGGACGATATCTACTGGTGGTGGGTTAGGGCGGTTACAAATAGTATTAGAGATATGTTCCAGGCGGTGTGCCAGCAAGAATGCTGGCCCCCAAAGAGGGTGGATTGTGAGATCCCACATGGGATGGTGAGGGAAACGAAGGTGCAGAAACCTCGACCTAGCAAACACGTTTTAAAACCTTGAGAGGAAGTTCGGAAGGGAAAACCCAAAAAAGACTCAGCAATGGGGCTCGGGTGGTTACATATCTTAGGGACAAAATGCCATTAATATATTCATCAATCTGCTAGAACTTTAGCACTTCAAAATGGTACCTGTCATACAAATGAGCAGCTTCTTCTTGTGATTCAACAGTTCCCAAGTGTATTTGTTTCTTGTCAACCTTAATAGCAGCCTGCCATTTCATGTTCTTGAAATAAACACCTCTCATTAAGAAACATTCTTCTGGAAACTGCTTTCTCCGGTGTCGTTTTCTACGTTTTACGGGCGGTTCTGCAAATAAAAAGCATATGAACAGAAAGATATCACTTCAAAACTCAGTGAAAAATGAAACCAAACACACCTGCAAATGGCTCATCACTTTTCTCCTTTGATGTGTCCAAAACAGATACCCTCGACGATTCGGTCTCTAAATTTGCAACGGGATTCTGAAAAATGCCATATTATCAAGATGAGTATCGAGCATAAATGTACTCGTTATGCACTACAAGACATAAACATGATGTGATTATGCAGTGATTGAAGAAACTGGAAATCATAATAATACTGACCTCCTCTATCTCGTTGAATTCGTTCGAACAGATGGGATGAACACTAATGAAGTTCGTACAGTGCTCGAGATCTTCAGCAGTCGAATTTTCAGAAGACTTTGAAACTGGAGCATCAAATGAGCCTTTGCCTACAAGATGAGTATAAGAAGCCTTCTGTGGTTCTGTTATGAATCAAATGAATAGAAATGGCATTTTCTCAACTCCATAGCTTCAAGACATTACCAGTGCAAAGTCCGAGGAGTTTACGCCTTCTTAAGCTCACCATAATTAGCTTCGATCGCGTTATCGCTGGTACTATTTGGTTGTTTTTCCTGGATCACCTCACATCTAGAGCAGAGAAGTAGAACAAATTCAATCAGGTTCCATGAGAAGAAAAAAGACATCTCCAAAACACTGGGACCGACGGACAAACAACAAACTGATCAATAAGGCTCAAAGAACAGAAGCGTGGCATCTATCATAATGGGGATAAAGAATGCAAGTTGCTGAGAACAATCAATAAGGAAGACTTGTTTTCACGTTGATTCATACATTTAAGAGCACTCAAACCAAATGGATGAACATATGTAACGGTTCAAGCCCACCGCTAGCAGATATTGTCTGCTTTAGCCCATTACGTATCGCTGTCAGCCTCATGGTTTTGAAGCGCGTCTACTAGAGAGAGGTTTCCACACACTCATACGGAATATTTCGTTCGCTTCTCTAATTGATGTAGGATCTCACAATCTACCCTCCTTGGGGCCTAGCATCCTCGCTGGCACACCACTCGGTGTTAGGCTTTGATACCATTTGTAATAGCTCAAGCCCACCGCTTTAGCCCGTCACGTATCGCCGTCAGCCTCACAGTTTTAAAACGCGTCTACTAGGGAGAGGTTTCCACACCCTTATAAGGAATGTTTCGTTCCACTCTCCAACCGATGTAGGATCTCACAATCCACCCTCCTTGGAGGCCAGTGTCCTCACTGGCACACTGCTCGGTGTCCGGCTTTGATACCATTTGTAATAGCCCAAGCTCACCGCTTTAGCTCCTTACATATTGCCGTCAGCCTCACGGTTTTAAAACGCGTTGCTAGGGAGAGGTTTCCACACTCTTATAAGGAATGTTTCATTCCACTATCCAACCAATGTGGAATCTCTAGCACACCACTCGGTGTCCAACTTTGTACCATTTGTAACAGCCCAAACCCACCGCTTTAGCCCCTTACGTATCACCGTCAACCTCACGGTTTCAAAATGCGTTGCTAGGGAGAGGTTTCCACATACTTATAAAGAATGTTTTGTTCTCCTCTCCAACCGACGTGGGATCTCACAATCCACCCTCCTTGAGGGCCAGCGTCCTCGCTAGCACACCGCTCGGTGTCAGGCTTGGATACCATTTATAACAGTCCAAGCCCACTACTTTAACCCATTACGTATCGCTATCAGCCTCACACGGATTTAAAACGCGTTTGCTACAGAGAGGTTTCCACACCCTTATAAGGAATGTTTCATTCTCCTCTCCAACCAATGTACCAATGTAGGATCTCACAACAAAAGTTCTCATATTATCAAATACAAATCAAAGAGGAAGAAGAAAACATCTTAGTGAAGTATATTCTTCTTTTGTACCTAAAAAACAGTGTTTAACTTCACTTTCTCTCAACCGAAGCGATCTAAATGAAGTCAAAATGCACAACAGGAGGTACTACAGAAAAATTCAAGTATCATTCTATGAATCAATAATCTAAAAGCAGTGCCAACATAAACTATCACCATCCAAAAAGCAGTAAATTGCAGTACAAAACTAGTAGCTATCAGCCAAAAGAACCTTGAATTGAGCAAAAAACCAAACAAATTTGGTGAACTCCATTAGCAAACTTCCCAATCTATTCAAATCAAACGTAGCTCAACTTGTTTAAACTTAAAACTTCAACTCAGAATCTAAACCTATCAAATTCGGTGCTGGAAATTCTCAAACTCATCGCTACAAGCCAACCCAGCCGCCGACAAGAAATTCAGATACCAAATTCCTCAAAACGCCAATCTAAACAAACGCAGCACTAGACAGACGCTAACTCAGAAACCAAAAATCCAAAACAAACAAACAAACAAGTGATCGGCATTCGGATTCCGCCCGTCAACGCCGAATGTCGACGACCGGAGACCAAACAAAACCGATCAAAAAACAGAGAGCCACCGTTCATACCTGAGGTCGCGGCGGCGGAGGAGGCGTAGAAAAACGATCGAAAAACAAAAGCGGGTTGAGATTACGAGGAGAAAGGATTATACGCAAATTCTGAACTCATGCATCATCTGTTTCTCTACCACCTTTTTGAAATCCCTCGTTTTGTAAATTTGTTCTGTTTGGACTGATGACGAGAACCAGGTGGTGGTCTGCAATGGAGGCAGAGAGAATCAAATTGGTTTTAGAGAGAGAAATACTAATGAGAGAGAGAACGTGACTTCTATGCAATCCATCAACAACATTTTCAATCACATTCCCACCTTATAAATGCTGAAAATTTTCCAAAATTGACATAATTTTGCATTAATAAACATTATATATTCATATTACAAAATAATTATATATAAATTTATTCATTTAGGATTAATATATCTCTAATATCAAATCTCGAACCGAAAATTATCGGTAAATATTTTTATAAATAATTTATATTTCGATTTAAGAGCTAATAAAATCTATGAACTGACATGAAAATCTCGTAAATAAATTAAATATAAATTAAAATCAGTAAAAATAAGAACAATGTACAAAACGACATGTTATAGGTCAAAATTTTATAATCCACGTCAAAGGAAACAATTTATGGTGCAATAACAGGATATTATTTTTGTCGTAGGTAATCCAGATTGATATCAATTTAAGTAAATATATATCTTATATTTAGATAATATTTCGATCTAAAATATATTAATTTAGTTAAAATATTATTAATTTATAAATTAATTGATTAAAACAATTAAAGAAATTATATATATATATATATATACACATACATACATAACTTTTGCTCTAACAAATTACTATATATATATATATATATATGTATGTATGTATATATATATTCCATTTTTAAGCATAATAATTTAATTATTTAAAATACTTGCGTGTGGAAGAAAAAAAAATTTAATTGCTAATAATTATTGACCAATTCTAGGAGACGGGCACTGAGTCAAACAACGAGGTCTCGAATTTAGGATACGAACAAATAATTTGGAGATATTTATTTTAATTAATTTTACTTGGTCAAAGGAAAAGGGTATTTTCGTAAATTGTGAAGGGTGGAGCTTAGGAATAGATAAGAGAGGACATGTTGGGGATTAAAGGAAATGATGAAGGGTATTTCGGGAAAATAAAATAATGGCTAGAGACACCGACGGATCGGTGATTGGATGTCGGGCACCCACCTACGCGTGTGGCGCTCTGATCAATTTTGAACGTTTTATCAACCAGACCAATAATTTAATTAATTAAACGATGAAG